CACACCAGCAGCTGCATGTGGAAGAGTGGGGAAATCAAACCCAGTTCTCCCAGATCAGAGCACAAGGCCCTAACCACTGCACCAAACTGGCTGTCAGCCTGGAGACTGAGCCAGAACCAGATCGGAAGCGGAGCTGTCCAGGCAGAGTGTCTGAGCATAAATTGGCCTTGGGGACCAACAAAGATCTCTGAGAACTGTGAGGACACACACACCCCTTGTGCTGTTTCCATCAAAAGTCTATTCATCCATTTGCTATTGGATCTGGGGTTGAGGACGGGAATGCCAAGAGCCGGTACAAGGAAGGCTGTTACCCTTGTGCATTAGGGCTTCCAACTCTGGCTTGGGAAGTTCCTAGAGATTTGAGGGCAGTGCCTGAGGAGGGTGGAGTTTGGGGAGGGGGAGGAGCTCAGCAGGGTGTGATTCCATAGAGTTGGGGTCCTCAGCTTTTAAGACTGTGTGGGCACATTTGGAATTCTGACACAAGGTGGGTGGGTGGGTGGAGCCACAAAATGGCTGCCACAGGAGGCAGTGCCAACCACAATGAGACTGAGCTGATGCATAAGGTTCATGGTAACTCTTCCACATTTAAGGCAGAAGCTTTGTTTAAGAGGATGCCTTTTAATCCACACAGCCAATCAGAAGCTCTTCTGGGCCTGATCTGGATAGCCCAGGCAAGCCTGATCTCATCAGAACTTGGAAGCTAAGCAGGGTCATCTCTGTCAAGTATTTGGATGGGAGACCTCCTTGGAATACCAGAGGCGGGAGGCGGGGGCAGGCTTTATTCAGCCACCTCTCTGAGGGCGATTCTGAATTGGCTTTTCCCTCCGTTGTTTTACCAAGCCCACCTTGGAACAGAAATTCCCCTCTGCATTGCACGCTGCTTTCACTTTCCTTTTTTTTTTTTAAGCCCCCGGAGGGGATTTTTTTTATTGCATTTTTTTTTTAATAACACTACAAAATTACAACAGAAAAAAGGGAAGCTTCGGAAGAGACTAGGCAAGGAGAAGTAAAAGCTGAAGGACTCTGAATTGTGCCTTTAAAAAGGGTTGAAGTGATGCTTTGGGGTGTTTCTGTATAACAGTCGAATTTAAGATCTGAAAAAAGAAAATGTTAAACTTGACTCAGTTGATAGTAAGACTAACGGGATAAAGACTAAATGTATGGTTAAGCTGGTGGGATGATCTCCTCTCTTGGGTTTTTAGTCAGTAGTGGGTATCTTTCTTTATCCTATAAATGTAGTTCCCACTTTCCTTGATCATCGGATTTCATGGCACCCTCCACACTCCATGCCGCTTTCGCTTTCTTTGACCATCGGGTTTTATGGTACCTCCTGCATAGATTTATGGCCGCTCGGAGGCCACCTTGCAGTCAGTACGGTGTTGCCCCGAGGTATCTGAATGTGGCTTTGAACTGCACCTTTCCCTCCCAGTTGAGAAAATGTGGAGCGGACGCCAGGTGCAGAATCGCGCTGAATATCCTCCAGGACCCCCCGTAGGGGTCAGTCACCGGAGGTCACCATGACTTCCAGGTGCACACACACACACACACACACACACACAAGCACATATGAAAAATAGAAAAAGGAAGACGCTCTACTGGGCACATGCCCCACCTGACCATGCCCACTTCCTATATAAACACTTGGTGGACACCAGGAAAGGTGTTGACGTGCACCATGCTACCCATGGGCACCACGATGGGGGGGCCCTGCCATAGCGTCCAAAGTTGCCGTTTCCTCCAGGGGAACTGATCCCTGTCATCTTGTTTGAGCAAAAGAGGGGATGGTACAAGGCAGGGGTCATTTCATAGAAAAAGAGGTACAGGAGCTCATTACCATAACTCATTAGCATAACTTATTTGCATATGCCACACCCCCTGACATCACCGGAGGTGTGTCAGAAGGCAACACCCACCGCTCAGGCTCCACTAGACTGTTTTGGATTGCTAGCTATTGGGGGGGGGGAACGTGCAGATCTGTCGTCACAGAGGAGGGAGAGCTTGTACCTGAATAAAAATTGGTCTTAAAGGTGCCACTGGACTATTTTGGACCAGGGGGGCGGGAGGAGCTCTGCAACTTACCTGGCTTCTTCTTGCTCTGACTGAGGGCTGCTGGGAGCAGGGGGTGCGGCTTGTTGCATGTGCCTGCCCCCTGGGCTCTTTACTGCCAGAGCTCTTGTCCTGTGCGCTCCTGCAGGAAATGACCCCTGGTACAAGGACCTACAAGGACCTGCAGAGACACTCCCCCCCCCCCAGTAGTCTGATCGATTACAGTGCCAGAAGGAACAATGTGTTACAACTAAAAAATACCTCTTAGAAGCTGGGGGGGGGGGGGGCCTCTGTTTTGCCAACATGCTTTTAAGAACAACCTGCCAACATTGCAGCCCATGAGATGATGCCTTTGATGGATGCTCTGGCTTCTTTCCTGCCTACGAGGGAATACCCAGATGAGAAGGATGGCCACCAGAATTCACAAGGGATTGCATCACATTTGGAGGTCCGTGAAAGGTGGACAGTGTTAATAGCTGGGTATCAAGAGCAACGCTCCCTCTGAGCTGTGGAGTCTTGTGAGCAGAAATCCTACTTTGTGAGCTCCTGGCAATAAAGTTGTGAGCGAGCCATTTGGCCGCTAGATAAAGTAGTTTGCTCTGGAGCCCTCCTTCCTGAGCTGAGATGAAAATGTGTGAGCCGGAGGCTCACACTAACTCAGCTTAGAGGGAACAGTGATCAAGAGGGCAGAATAGTCCTTGACACAAAACTGCCGGCTCAGATAGTACAATCATTCTCAGAAAAGGGGACAGGACGTTCATGGTTATTGACGCTATGGCCACTAGGTGATGCTGTGCAAAGAGAGTAGAGTCAGTGGAGGAGGAAAGCGCTGTCGATGCAGAATTGACTCACAGTGACTAAGTAGGATTTTTAAGGTTGGAGTTGGACAGAGGTGATTGGCCATTGCCTGCCTCTGCGTAGCAACCTCGGACTTCCTTGTTGGTCTCCAGTGTTCCCTCTAAGCTGAGTTCGTGTGAACTAGCTCACAGTTTTTGTGCCTCCGGCTCACACATTTTCGTCTCAGCTCAGGAAGGATGGCTCCAGAGCAAACCAGTTTATGCAGCAGCCAAATGGCTCGCTCACAACTTCAATGCCAGGCGCTCAAAAAGTGGCATTTTTGCTCACAAGACTCCACAGCGTAGAGGGAGGCATTGGAGGGCCGACTCTGCTTAGCTTCTGAGATCTGGTGAGATCGGGCCAGTCAGGGCCATACGGGTCACGGGGACAGAGATGAACAGAGGTCGTTTGCCATTGCCTGCCTCTGCGTAGCCAAACGGACCTTCCTTGGTGGTCTCCCCTCCAAGTACAAACCATGGCCAACTTCTGAGATCCGAGAGGACTGAGCTAGCCTGGACCATCCAGGTCAGGGGATGGAGATAACAGAGGGAAACAAAAGTTGGTTTCATTTTTCCCCTCAGCCCAGTGTCCAGTTTTCCCTCAGTTTTCTGTTTTACACTCCCTCAGTTTACCTCAGTTTTCTGTTTTACACTCCCTCAGTTTACCTCAGTTTTCTGTTTTACACTCCCTCAGTTTACCTCAGTTTTCTGTTTTACACTCCCTCAGTTTACCTCAGTTTTCTGTTTTACACCCACACACAAGCATCAGCCCCCTTCCCCCCTCCCCTTCTTGTCATGGCTGATGCCACTGTGGTCTTTTGAGTTGCTGTGACAAACCTTCACAACAGCAAAGCTCTGGCTCATGTAGCATTTGGGGGGATCTGCAGAAGGCCTCAGCGCCTTCTGCCAAGCATCGGAAATCAGTCAGTCAGATCCTAAAGATCTATTTTGAAAGCAGAGGCACTTTCTCCCCTGTCACAGATTATCGTGACTAGTTAGATTCAAGTCCAGCAGCACATTAGAGACCAACAAGAGTTTCAGGCTGTGAAGTTTTGAAAGTTGAAGCTCCCTTCGTCAGACATGAGGAGAGACTTGTTGTTGTTCAGTCACACAGTCGAGTCCGACTCTTCGCGACCCCATGGACCAGATCACGCCAGAGACACGGCTAGCTTAATGGCCCTGCAGTATTCAGCTCAGCGTTTTTCAAACTTCTGTAAAATGAGATTAATATAAAGGCAGGTGAAGGTAATACAAAGGTCAATTCCCTTTAGGATGCTTGGGAGTTATTTAAACCTATAATGACCGAAGGGCAGATACAACGTGAACTACAGATTAGGACAGGTACTATCAAAACTAAGGGAAATCTGAACTAAATGACTTTTCTTCTTATTTATTTTAAGATTTTCTGCATATTTAGGACAGGTCTATGGGAGAGTCACCATTATTTTTTTGTCATCAGGGACCAAAAGCCAATCTCTGGGTGCAGCCTAGTGTGCCTATATAAACATGACTGTGCAAACTCATGATTGTCATGTTTATGCATGTGTGTGCATGGGGAAGTGCAGAATCACAGAATCACAGAGCTGGAAGGGGCCATACAGGACATCTAGCCACTTGCTCAGTGCAGGATCAGCCTAGAACAGGGGTGGCCAAACTTAATGTAACAGCCACACAGAATAAACGTCAGATGTTTGAGAGCCGCAAAACATGAACATATCAAAGCTTCGTATATATGTAAAGCAAATGGTTAAATGATAGCAAAACATTGACAAGCACACGTTCAATGAAAAAAGTTGCAGATCTCCCCGTTCAAAGAAACATTGCAAGTGGTCCAGAAACGTCAGGTACAATGTGCCAAGCCGGAACTTTGTGATGTAATCAAGAAACAGTCCCCCAGTCCAATAAAACATACAATATTCACACTTCCAGTGGTCGGCTGGCAAACTGACCACATTCAAACTGGACTCTTCCTCATGGAGATTATATTTCATATAATGAAGGACGAGCATTTATCCATACAGCCCCTTATGAATATCATGGGGAAAACGTTTTACGTCCTGAGTTACGCAAGTGAGAAGAGGGCACCATTTTCTTTACATAGGACGTAAGGGACCTTGTTCAGGGAGATGGCCGATTGTTTCCACAACTGATCTTCAGCTCCAAGCTGCTGATGCTACAGCTTTGGTGGCCCGCCTCGTTGACATTGACGTTGTCCATGGGGATGATGGGAATATCCATAAAGCCTCTCTTAAGCAGGGCAAGAATAGACGTCTTGAAGACCTGCTGGAATTTCTCCCCAATAAACAGATAGAGAATGGGGGTGAAACAGAAATTGAAACACTCTCCGACAGCCATTGCCACCCGCAAGGCCTGCCGTGTTGTTCTAAACGATTCCCAATGTGTCGTTGAGCCGTGATAGAGATGGTAGGGGATCCAGCAGATGAAGAAGGATGCCACGGCTGCCACCAGGACCCAGAAAGGCTTTCTGTTCCTTGCCAGCCTTCTCTTTTTCATTTCCCAGACCATCCTACAATGGCAGCTCATGATAATCAGGAAGGGAAGCAAGAAGGCCAAGAGGAACCGGACCACAAAGAGAGCTACGTGAACACGATGCCTCAAGGCCTGTGCCTCAGGCTTATCCCAGTCACTGGAGAAAGCGAAATTGCTGGCGCACTTCGTTCTGCCTGACTCCATTGCTCGCGTCTCCTGAAAAGCCATGTAGGGGACACTGAGGACAAGGGAACAGAGCCATACTCCTGCCACGAATCTCTGCGCCTGGGGAATTGTGCGGTGGTGCTGGGACCAGAAAGGATGACAGATGAGCAGGTAACGGTCCAGGCTGATGACAGTGAGGAGAAAGACAGTGGTGAACATGGTCAGAGAAAACAGGGAAATGATAAGTTTGCATGCCACGGTGCCAAAGACCCAGTGGAATCCAAAGAAGCTGTAGATGGCGAAGAAAGGCAGAAAGGTGCAGAAAAGTAAGTAGGTGAAAATCAGATGTGAGAACCAGAGGGTGTTCACGGTCCTCTTCATTTTCACCCACATCACCCAGAGGAAGAGGCCATTGGAAACTGTCCCCACCAGTAAGGACACCAAGATAAAAATGCCAAGCACCAGATTCATAAAAGACATCATCTCCGGGGAGGGGCTGGTAGGCACACTGGCGTTTGAAATATTCCTTAAAAGGATAGTCATGTTTCCTGTGTTCATGAGGCCCTGAAAGAAGATGGAAAAGAGACTGAGTTAGTGGCAGAGTAGGGCTGCAAATCTCTAGGCGGGACCTGGAATTCTCCAGGAATTACAACTGATTTGCAGACAACAGAGATCAAACAAGCATGAATTAGGGAATTCCCGGAGATTACGAGGACGGCAGGGTTTGGGGAGGGGAAGGAGTTCAGCAGAGATGTTAATGACATAGAGACTACCCTTCAAAGCAGCCATTTCCTCCAGGGGAACTGATCTCTATAGTCTGGAGAGAAGCAGTCGTTCTGGGAGATCCCCAGGCCACACTTGAAAGCTAGCAACACTGAGAGTCTGCATACAAATCCTTGCCGATATTATTGGATTATTCAATCTCTTGCTTTTAACTTTTGGGGGTTTTGGAGAAAGTCTTCAAAATACAAGCCCATTTTAATCCATCATCCTTGCAACCAGGGGTCATTTAGTAGAAAAAGAGGTGCGGGAGCTCATTAGCACAACTCATTGGCATAACTCATTTGCATATGCCACACACCCCTGACATCACCGGAAGTGTGTCAGAAGGCAACACCCACCGCTCAGGCTCCACTGGACTGTTTTGGATTGCTAGCTATTGGGGGGGGGGGACGCGCAGATCTGTCCTCGCAGAGGAGGGAGAGCTTGTACCTGAATAAAACCTGGTCTTAAAGGTGCCACTGGACTGTTTTGGACCGGGGGCTGGGGGGGGGGCCCTGCAGCTTACCTGGCTGATTCTTGCTCTGACTGAGGGCTGCTGGGAGCAGGGGATGGGGCTTGTTGCATATGCCCGCCCCCTGGGCTCTTTACTGCCGGAGCTCCGCTCCTGTGCGCTCCTGCAGGAAATGACCCCTGCTTGCAACAACCCTGTGCATGGATAATTATATTTGACAGGTAGTCAAGTTGAGTGCAAAGGAAGGTGAGACGATGGACCGTCAAGATGGGTTTGGGATCCAGTTCTGGGGCAACGCGATCATAATGGATCGACCCTGCTGACCAAAAAAGAGGTAGTGTCTAATGCAGACAAATACCACAGACCCAGCTGGAAAATGAACGAACGAGAAATGCTTGTTTCTCGGTGATCGTGGAAGCCTTGGGCAAGCGAGACTGAGGAACCGAGAAGCAAAACAGGATCCATGGGAAAGAACTGAGGAGTGGCTGCAGTGTGGGTGAGGACCATAGTTCCCTCTAAGCTGTGCTAGGGAACACTTGCGTGCAAAATTTTAACATGCAGCTCAGGGATTGTGAGCTTCTGCTCACAAGACATTTTCCCCCCCTCCATTGGAAACAATTGGAAACAATGGTGAACGGGGACACCTCCTTCTGGGGCCCATAGAATTGGACTCCCTGGTCCAATCTTTTTGAAACTGGGGGGGGGGGGGTTGGGGGGGGGCACCAGCAGTTATGCTGCAAATTTGATGCCTCTACCTAAAAAAACCAGGGGGGCCCCCAAGCCCCAGATCAGTTCTCCATTATAGCCTATGGGGCTTATTGACTATAAAGGTCCCCATAGGCTACAATGGAGCAAGGAGAAAATTATTTGGGGGGGGCACACCCCTACTATGCTTTTCAGTATGACTTGTAAGCTGCCTTGAGTCACAGGGGAAAGTGGGATATAAATATTTGAATAAATTAGTTTGGGCAGGGTGATAACATTTAAGCAACTTCCTGTTTGTTAGGTTAGGCAGGGATCTGACAGTGATTGTTCCCCCTCTAATTGACCTGTAATGCTGATTGTCATATTTCACTAAAAACAACAACAACAAAGAAGACTGCAAGAGTCCCCACCCCCACCCCAAGTGCTGATATGTTTTCTAAGGCTCAGCACAGGGTACCAAGGCCAGGCCTACCAATATAGTGGGTAGACCTGTTCTCCAGAGGCCAGGTCTACTACTATAGTGGACTGAGGTGGGTAGACTTGTTCTCCAGAACAGAGGCCTTCCAATATAGTGGAAAGGGGTGGGTAGTCCTGTTCTCCAGAGGCCAGGTCTACTACTATAGTGGACTGAGGTGGGTAGACTTGTTCTCCAGAACAGAGGCCTTCCAATATAGTGGAAAGGGGTGGGTAGTCCTGTTCTCCAGAGGCCAGGTCTACTACTATAGTGGACTGAGGTGGGTAGACTTGTTCTCCAGAACAGAGGCCTTCCAATATAGTGGAAAGGGGTGGGTAGTCCTGTTCTCCAGAGGCCAGGTCTACTACTATAGTGGACTGAGGTGGGTAGACTTGTTCTCCAGAACAGAGGCCTTCCAATATAGTGGAAAGGGGTGGGTAGTCCTGTTCTCCAGAGGCCAGGTCTACTACTATAGTGGACTGAGGTGGGTAGACTTGTTCTCCAGAACAGAGGCCTTCCAATATAGTGGAAAGGGGTGGGTAGTCCTGTTCTCCAGAGGCCAGGTCTACTACTATAGTGGACTGAGGTGGGTAGACTTGTTCTCCAGAACAGAGGCCTTCCAATATAGTGGAAAGGGGTGGGTAGTCCTGTTCTCCAGAGGCCAGGTCTACTACTATAGTGGACTGAGGTGGGTAGACTTGTTCTCCAGAACAGAGGCCTTCCAATATAGTGGAAAGGGGTGGGTAGTCCTGTTCTCCAGAGGCCAGGTCTACTACTATAGTGGACTGAGGTGGGTAGACTTGTTCTCCAGAACAGAGGCCTTCCAATATAGTGGAAAGGGGTGGGTAGTCCTGTTCTCCAGAGGCCAGGTCTACTACTATAGTGGACTGAGGTGGGTAGACTTGTTCTCCAGAACAGAGGCCTTCCAATATAGTGGAAAGGGGTGGGTAGTCCTGTTCTCCAGAGGCCAGGTCTACTACTATAGTGGACTGAGGTGGGTAGACTTGTTCTCCAGAACAGAGGCCTTCCAATATAGTGGAAAGGGGTGGGTAGTCCTGTTCTCCAGAGGCCAGGTCTACTACTATAGTGGACTGAGGTGGGTAGACTTGTTCTCCAGAACAGAGGCCTTCCAATATAGTGGAAAGGGGTGGGTAGTCCTGTTCTCCAGAGGCCAGGTCTACTACTATAGTGGACTGAGGTGGGTAGACTTGTTCTCCAGAACAGAGGCCTTCCAATATAGTGGAAAGGGGTGGGTAGTCCTGTTCTCCAGAGGCCAGGTCTACTACTATAGTGGACTGAGGTGGGTAGACTTGTTCTCCAGAACAGAGGCCTTCCAATATAGTGGAAAGGGGTGGGTAGTCCTGTTCTCCAGAGGCCAGGTCTACTACTATAGTGGACTGAGGTGGGTAGACTTGTTCTCCAGAACAGAGGCCTTCCAATATAGTGGAAAGGGGTGGGTAGTCCTGTTCTCCAGAGGCCAGGTCTACTACTATAGTGGACTGAGGTGGGTAGACTTGTTCTCCAGAACAGAGGCCTTCCAATATAGTGGAAAGGGGTGGGTAGTCCTGTTCTCCAGAGGCCAGGTCTACTACTATAGTGGACTGAGGTGGGTAGACTTGTTCTCCAGAACAGAGGCCTTCCAATATAGTGGAAAGGGGTGGGTAGTCCTGTTCTCCAGAGGCCAGGTCTACTACTATAGTGGACTGAGGTGGGTAGACTTGTTCTCCAGAACAGAGGCCTTCCAATATAGTGGAAAGGGGTGGGTAGTCCTGTTCTCCAGAGGCCAGGTCTACTACTATAGTGGACTGAGGTGGGTAGACTTGTTCTCCAGAACAGAGGCCTTCCAATATAGTGGAAAGGGGTGGGTAGTCCTGTTCTCCAGAGGCCAGGTCTACTACTATAGTGGACTGAGGTGGGTAGACTTGTTCTCCAGAACAGAGGCCTTCCAATATAGTGGAAAGGGGTGGGTAGTCCTGTTCTCCAGAGGCCAGGTCTACTACTATAGTGGACTGAGGTGGGTAGACTTGTTCTCCAGAACAGAGGCCTTCCAATATAGTGGAAAGGGGTGGGTAGTCCTGTTCTCCAGAGGCCAGGTCTACTACTATAGTGGACTGAGGTGGGTAGACTTGTTCTCCAGAACAGAGGCCTTCCAATATAGTGGAAAGGGGTGAGTAGACCTCTTCTCTGGAGGTCTAACCAATACAGTGGGAGCGGGTGGGTGAAGTCTGACTTGCTTTTGTTTTCTCTTGTAATGTTTAAATTATTCTTAAAGTACGAAATATAATTTCAGAGAATTTATCCTGAGATTTTCACAAGGTTGTGGAAGTAATCTAAAAAACTAATTTGCGTGATAGTCAAATGTAGACTCGCTCACAACTTTAATGCTACTAGCTTTTTTTCGCTCATGAGGTAGAATTTCTGCTCACAACACTGTGGAGCTTAGAGGGACCCAGAGGAAGAGGGCTGGGGTAGACAGGGCATGCCTGATTGGGGATGATGGGCATTGGGGGAGAGACGGTGGGGAAAGTGAATAAAGCTTCACCAAGTCAGAGAACTGCTAAGTATTGAGGGGCTTCGGCCAAACAGTCCAGAAGTGTGCCTTCGCATAAAGGTTTGGACAGTATTGCCTTGAACTTTTGTAACCCCACAGCCTGCATTACACGCACAATGCCAGCCTGGACAGGTTGCTCTTCACATTTTCATCCAGGGGTCATTTCCTGCAGGAGCACACAGGAGCGGAGCTCTGGCATTAAAGCACCCAGGGGGCGGGGACATGCAACAAGCCCCACCCCCTGCTCCCAGCAGCCCTCAGTCAGAGTAAGCAGCCAGGTAAGTTGCAGAGCCCCCCCCCCCGATAGCAATCCAATACAGTCCAGCAGCACCTTTAAGGCCAAGGTTTATTCAGGTACAAGCTCTCCCTCCTTTGTGAGGGCAGATCTGCGCGTCCCCACCCCCCATAGCTAGCAATCCAAAAGAGTCCAGTGGAGCCTGAGCGGTGGGTGTTGCCTTCTGACACACTTCCGGTGATGTCAGGGGGTGTGACATATGCAAATAAGTTATGCTAATGAGTTATGCTAATGAGCCCCTGCACCTCTTTTTCTACGAAATGGCCTGTTTTCATCTATTTCTGTATTCCTGGTCCTCTTGCAT